CTTTGGCGGTTATTTTTGGATTGATTAAGTGCCAAGAGTACTTAATTGGAAGTAGATTTATAATATATACGGATCACAAACCCCTGGTCCATCTTTTCAGGAAAGATAAAAAAAAAATTAATGTTAGCCTCGGTTATAAAGATGGTTGTTACTGGTGGGAGGTTTTGACGTCCAGGTGAAATATAGGCGTGGAAAAGAAAACTATTTACCTAATATTCTATCTAGATGTGGAGCCAGACAAGATTGGAAAGATATGAGATCTGAGAAGTGGAGGAGAGGAAGGAAAAGGGATATATTAGTACGATAGCAGGGATATCTAGAGGTGGGCCAGTGACATGAGAGGAACTAAAGACCACTTTGAAAGATAGCAAACTGATGCGGATTAAAAGGAGTGTGATATGATGAAGATCTTGGAGAGAGGGGGAAGTGTGTAGAGAACGAGCTGGCTCTAGTGGACGACACATGTATGATACCAGGAAATCGAGTAGTACCGATGAGATTGAGAGGCACAGTTATCCACGATCCAAGCTGGGCATCAGGGTACAAATGAAAAGGGGTCGTGAATATGTGTGGTGCCTTGGGATGAATAAAGAGATTTGAGACCAAGTTGTTTGATGTGTAATTCAATTCGCGATATTGTCTTCACTATAAATGTTTCGTGGAATTGGCTTCACAATAATACCTTTGCTATAAAATTCTTTTGCGATACAAGTTTCCCTTAATTGACCTGATACGATTAAAGACAAACATTCATCTTCAGAATTTGGAGTAACAATACAATGTGACTGCTCTAGACAGAAAGAGATAGGCAATGTTGTGGCATAACGTGCAAATTAACCTTACTATTATAAGGAAGGGGATTACCCCCCTTTTTTACATTTGCAAGTTAAATTAAATAGTCCAAAACGAGACAAGTTTTAATTGAAAAGTTAGTCCTTTTGCCAAATGATCATTACATAAAATATCAATTAACTAGTTTTCTTTTTTATAAAATTTATTACTAGAGTCCTCAAAAGCCCAGCCCTACTTTGACCTGTTAGGAATCTTTACTAAGATATTACCAAGCCCATTAAATTTTTTCCAGATCCAGACAATTACAATTTTTTTTTAGAAATTTCATAGCAAAGTGTACAAAATTTACAAAAAATCAGGCCTCACCCAGCCCATTATAAATTTAGGAAAGGTTTGTCCTTGCTCCCTTAAATTTTTGGGCCATAACATATTTTAATATCTATATCTAATTTTGTTTCCATTGTCACTTAAAGCTTTTATATTGTGCCTTATGGCTATCTAATTCTATAACAACCATATTATAAATAAATTGTGTTTGATACCTTCATTGTGCATTTGTAATCGGATCATATCATTCATGAATCTACTATTTTATGTATACAGCCCTTAAAATACTAAGATATAAGCATATTGAAATTTATTTTCAATTAGTATCAATCAAAACATTAGCTTGAAATTCAAAAAAATAATATCAAAAATCTTAATGCCCAGGTGGGGCCTATTCAAATTTTACAAAAAAATTAGAGATTTGCAAACCATTGTCCAGCCTAGCCCAAAAATTTTTATGCATGAATTGCTTGGCCTATTTAAATTTCTTTTTAAATTTTCCTGGCCCAACATACAAGTCAAGTTTTGCAGATCTACATTATACTACTTTTATGTTATAAGATAAATGAGTCCATAAAATTCTTTGTCTCATTGTTTTCTTTCATTTATCTTTATTTTTAATTATATAATGAATAGCTTTTTGTAACCATTGATAGTGGTAATTTAATCATCATATTTTTTTCTATGATAAAATTAAACTGCAAATTTTTTCAAGTAATGTGCCCATCCCAACCTAAAGGCATCCTCATGAAATTTAGCTAGATGTAGGCATATTTCATTCAACCCTCCAAAAGTGAAGAATACTAAGAATAAATTAAACCAAATTCTTTGCGTCAAAAATAGCAATTTAAAATGATATTTAAGATAGAGATTCACAAATCACAGCCTGGCTCAAACCCAAAACCAATTTAAAAAAATAATTTCGGCTCAGGTTGGGTTGAGCCTAATATTTTTAAAAAAATTTGAACAAGGTCAAGCTTAAATATGACATTTCATTTTGTCAAATAAATTGGTATATTTTAAAATTCTAACAAGAAAAAAGGCACTAATATTTTTTAAAATTTTTATATATTTAAATAAATTTGGACCTGGTGGACAAAAAATAGAGAAGGGTTTCCTTTTACCAAATGGATGATGTAAATGCAAAGGAATGGATAAATTTCATTAGGATATTAATAGATATGCTATATAGCTTTTATAATTTAAAAATATGACTATTACAAAAAATGATAAATAATTTTTATATTAAAACAAATTTGCACAGTAGTTAACTTTATTAATAAACATGGACCATACCATATAAAAAAGTCCAAAATAATACATATGTACAAAGTCCATTTACAAATCCTTCAGTAAATATTGCATATTTAGATCTAAAATGTGTTTCTTTTGAAGTAAGCATTCTTTCATAAAATAGCAACGACATAAATACAGATGCAAGTATGTAAAACACAAAACCATTGATTGAAGTTAATCCTAATATGCCAGCTGTTGAACCAGAAAGGGCTGAGATAGTAGTGCGACAGTATTCCAATAATGATATATTATATCTAATTGAATTCTCATTGTAAATAACTGAATCAATGGTATTTTCCTCGGAATTCATCTAGCCTATAGATGAGAAAATGGTTCAAAGGGGTATATAAAATTAATCAGACGATTGCCATTATGTCAAACTAATTGAGTGGCGCATTATGCCATTTAAGATTATCTTAAATTTTTTTTTTTTGAAAAAAGCAGAAGATTATAAAAAAAACATTAAAACTGCGAATATTTTATAAATTTTATATCAAAGTTTAATAACATATAACCAGTTAGCCTTAATTTGATTTTATTGAATTAATGCCTCCTATTCATAAATTTATTTTTATGATTAACATAGTTAAAAGTAGTTAAAGAATTTTTGATTATTTATATTTTGTTGATGTAATTTATTATTATTTATTAATTTTTCATATTATTATTTTTAAATTAAATTTTGGTTAAGTAGATTTTTGGATTAAAAAGTTTTCATTGATGGTTCTTTCTTGGGATTAATATTAAACATTGGTGTAATATATCTTGTTTGGGGATGGGGATTTGTGTGGTAGGTTAATCTGTTAGTATTTTTAGAGGTTAAGTAAAAATAAGAAAGAGAAAAAATATATTAATATCAGGGAAAACCGTTTATGGAATAAGTTTGACAAGAAAATATTTGTTCATAATATGGAAAAATTATATTGTAAAAAACAACAAAGATTTCTATGAGATATTGTATTGAAATCTAATTGAAGAAATTACAAATATAATACTAATCAATTATGAAAATATTAGCTTAGAAAAAAAGGTTATATTAAAAATAATAGCTAAAAAGAGTCCTTTTTAAAATATTTTAGATAATTTCAAAAAGATATAAGGAATAATGATACAAGTGACTCTACCCCACATCATCATCTTAGCCAGAACGGCGTAACCGATAAGCGAAGTAGTTTGATTGTTAGATTTTACCATATATTGGTTTGGTATCTATTAGGGTTAGTATTTCTGATATTTATCATTTTTTTATTATTTTGATATTACAATTTTTGATTTTATTTTTAATTCTTAACCGTTTGATCTGAATTTTCATATCATCTCAATATATTTAAAAAGAACTATGTAATCGAATGCCAATTTTATATTATTTTAAAAAGAAAATTATTTCTAGAATTTTGATCGATTAAATACGATCCAAACCAAATAAATTCTCTATTTCTAATTCGGAGTCAATTTAAAATTAAAATCTATTTATTTCTTTTAGATTATCTGAGACCTTTCGTTTAGGAGATGAAGACTTAAAAGCTGCACTACACTAGTTTTATTATAACCTATTAGTATAAAATCTAAATATATATATATATATGTAGTATATTTAGAATTTTTCAATTTTTATCCAATGGTATAGTTTTTAATCTGATGATTAATATCATGCAAGAATATTCATTTTCTTTATCCGTTACCAAGATTATGTATAGGAAGAAATTATTTTTCAACGATCATTAAACATAAATACATCATACTCATACTTAATCGTGATAAACCTATTTATACAGCGTTTTAAATCCTTCTTCTATGCAACTCTAATGATAGCTTTGAAGAAAATAAAGAAATCTTGGAATATCCTCAGATGGTGTGGAATTCAATTAATAAGTTAACCTAAAAATAACCATTAAAATTTATAGTAAAAGGCCTAACTAAATAGCCCCCCCCCCCATTTACCATCAAAATAATGGATAGGTCTATGTCTTAATTTATACAATAGAATGATATTTATAGCTATTTTAAGATAATCAGAGATTTTTCAATAAATTATGGGCCCTTATTTATTATATTTTCCGATTATCAAGTACAGATAATTTTTTTAAAAAATAGGCAAAGCACAAATTTTTAAATAAACTTTTTAAATAAAAATTTTCGCAATATTATACCCAGGAAAGGTTTTTTAATTGTTTTTTCTTCATTTACTAGTGTTATACGGTTCGTTTTGAGCCGATTGTTAAAAACTGCTAACTCGTTACTTCATCCAACAAAAATATTCCCAAGCCTAAAGATTTTGCTCATAGAATGAACAAAGGTTTAGACATATATTAACGAAACCTTTATGGCATAGGCAATATTTTAATATTCCCCTGGCTAAAATATTGAGTAAGCCGTTTTAAAAAATCGGCTCAAAACGAGCCGTTAAATAACACTATCATTTACACTTCATTTAGATTATGTTAAATATAATCTTATTGTACTACTTGAATAACACTATAATATATAAATCACTAAACAAATCGTAAAATTTTATTGCATTTATGAAAAACAAAAAAAAATTTATAATTTGCTTTTTTAAAAAAATTAAAATACATGATTATTATTTATGTCAAAGAAAAGTTTTCCATCCCCTCCGATGAGGATTTTCTATCCTTGACAAAATCTGTAGCCATTGATTCATTTGATTGTTCTTCTAACATATCCGAAGAAAGGTTTAATAGGTCGATAGAATTACGAGGTGTAGTCTGGGATAATGGTTTTGGGGGGTTTTCCGCTAGCGACGCTTCTATATAACGCTGTCTATCGTCTCGGATCTCGCCCAACTTATCGTCAAGATGACTTACGTTAACTTTGAGTTTAAAATGGGAATTATAGATAGCACTTTTATTGACATTTTCCGGGGAATTGACAGCCAGAGATCTTAACATGATGTTCGAAGCGTAGGTTGTGCCTATTTTTTTTTATATAAAAAGAATAAAATATTGATTCAAATCAGAGATCATACCCCGGAACCCATCTCAGGGTAACAAAATGGGATTTTTTTTAACATCTGGGACGGGTTTATATGTCGACAGTCAAATGTCCAATATATAGCTTTTTAGTCATAATCATTCTTTTTCAATATCTTTATCTTGGTTTGTAGGTCCCTTTGGAAGAAAGGCACCACGTGACTAAATAAAGCCTTTATTTTAGGAAAAAGAATTAAAAGCCGATTCGCTCTTGACTCCATAAACGATATAACTATCTTAGGTCTGCAGGTCCGGACACACACCCGGTCGGCCGGACCTAGAAAAAAAATGTTAAACAACCCAGGAAGGGCCAAAAATTTAACCAGGACAAATTTTACTCGACTTATATCATATATTCTAAAATATATCAGATATTTAAAAAAAACTGTATCCTAGAATGATATATCACATTCATTCTCTTCCATATATTCCTATTTCGAAGCCATTTATCTCTCGTAAGAAAATGTTTAACTAATTTTTTTAAAGAAAGAAATTATAAATTTTTTTTATTTTTTAGTCAAAATCATATAATTATAATGCGTCCCCTTATATATATATACTACTTATAGATAAATATTTATAATTATTAATTTAGGAGATTAGTTATAAAATGTTTAGTCAAAAAATAATTTAAAAAAAAAAAACTAATACGAGGGAAATAGTTGATAATTAAAACACAGTTTTTGATGTGATATTATGAACCTAGTAGCTTCAGGATCAAAATTCTTTAAATTGTTATGAAAGGAATTTATAAAAAGAAGTATATTTATTGAATTTTCCTATTTCAGTAGTTTGGATGATGGAGTCTGGAAATAATTGCTTGATGAGTCGTACAATATAATAACCAAAATCCATATAAATATTACGAGTAAATTTTTTTTTTCAAAAAAATAATTTACAATATAACCGCTAGTGTTGTTGTTAAACGGTTTGTTTTGAACCGATTTTTAAAACCAGCTATCTCACAATTTTAGCCAGAAAAAAATGTTGCCTATGCCTCGAGATTTCGCTAATTGATGTCTAGACCTTTCCTGCCAGTTATGTGCAAAATTTTCAGGCTTGCGTAATATCATTCTGGTTGAGTCAGCCGTTTCTAAAAGTCGGCTCAAAACGGGCCGTTTAACAACACCGATAACCAGCATTTTTATTGCTGTCCCAAGTTTTTGACGAATTTATTCCTAAAATTTTGTTAGCCATAAAATTGCCAAGTAAGTTTCGAAACTACTAAATTAGCGTCAATGTGACAAATGTTGCAGATAGAAATCCTTGAAATCCCTATTTCCCAACCTCATAGGATTTTCCATCCTATGTTTATCATTCTTTTCATCCTTTTCCGGGAAATGTGTTATTTTTTCCCCAATTTTAAATCGTTTTTTTGTTTTAAATTTAAAAAAATTTGATTCTACCCGATATGTATTCCATCATGTTTTTTTTGGTGTACCTATCTTACGAATAGTAGACAATTTTGCTTGTTATCCTTTGAAGCCATTTTTTTAATTTATTATATTTTAAAATAAAAATATACGGAAAATTCTTGAATAAATTATATTAAGTTTGAAAACAAAGACATATAATATAATAATAATAATAATACCTAGACTGACGATACATTCGTAATAATGCCTTCGAAAGTCGTCGCTGAATGCAAATCAGCTGGATGCCCTATTTTGGTAACCCATATAGTAATTATAATTATTCTCATCTCATGTTAAAAACTACTATTAAAATTGATTACTTGCTTCCTTATTTATCTCGATGATCGATCAGGGAATGCTTTAAAATAAAGTTTGCGTCAAGATATAGTAATAAATTGACTTCTCGTTTAAAATTTTTTAATAATGATATGGGTAATTAAAATGGCGTTTCCAGCTGTTTTTCATGGATGCACACTTTTAATGAATGCATCGTCAGTCTAGGTATTATGAATATGTCATTGGTTTAAAAGATCATGGATATATTGTGGGAAATTCGTAGGTTAGTAGGTATTCCAAACATGATGGAATACATTTCCGGTAAAATCACATTTTTAAATTAAAAAAAAAATGGGCTCAAAGAAAATGATTTTTAGTTGAAAAAAAAAATACACATTGCAAGAAAAAAAAACACATTGACGCTAAAACATATATATTTCACTGTGTGATCCGTTAAAATACTTAAGTTATTCGACCCGGTGAAACCGGTTTTTAATATCTTGATATATATATATTTATAGTAAATAAAATAATTATTAATTTTAGAGACCAATTATTATTATTTTTTTTATTTTTCAGTCAAATCAAAACCATACAAAATTACGAAATAGCATTATAATATTTGGGCAAAAAAAAAAAATGAAATTGGAAATTAACTTCGTCTCGGAAATAAAGAAGAATAATTTTAAAAGTTAGAAAGAAAAGAAAGAAAGAAAGTTAAAAGAAAAGAAAAGAAAAGAAAGAAAGAAAGAAAGAAAGAAAGAAAGAAAGAAAGAAAGAAAGAAAGAAAGAAAGAAAGAAAGAAAGAAAGAAAGAAAGAAAGAAAGAAAGAAAGAAAGAAAGAAAGAAAGAAAGAAAGAAAGAAAGAAAGAAAGAAAGAAAGAAAGAAAGAAAGAAAGAAAGAAAGAAAGAAAGAAAGAAAGAAAGAAAGAAAGAAAGAAAGAAAAGAAAGAAATTAAATATTTTCATATTAGCTGAAAAACTCAACAACCGTAACCCGAATTGGTAGAAAAATTTTTAAAACCTGGGTCTAGTGATGTTCACCTAACTTTAACCAATTTCAATATGGCGTCGTCAAGATTATCCCCCCCCCCCCTATAAAATTGACTTAAAGGTCTAAGTTTTAGCCTCATCTTAATGATTAGAGACTTTACTTTTTTTAGAAATAAAAACTTGGCTAGTAAAGCTGACCAAAGTTAGATGATTTAACAAATCCTACCTGGGTCGAATTTTTGCGCAAAAAAATAATATGGGCTGTTCCTTTGAAAATATAAAATCTGAACCGGGCCAAAAAAGACAATTTTTTTAGCAGGTCACTAATTACTATAAAAGAAAAATTTGGTTGAAAGATAATTTACCTATATCGAATTCCACAATGGCGGTAGATATTAACTCATGCACATTTTCTGGAATTACATCATGCAATCCAAGTTGTACGATGCAAATTAAATGTTGTTCTTTGTAGGCGTCTGAAAATAAGTATTTATTTATTTATTTATTTTTTTTATCAATATTATAAAATATCGATTTTAAACAAAAGTAACTTCTATTTTTTTTACTCAATAAATATTAGTTTAAATATCGAATTATATCAAAGTGCTGGAAATAGTAGTATAATCCAAGTAATCAAGAAATGATGTAACGAACAACTATTACTTTGTTTGACGGTCGATATTTTAGGTATTCTCCAAACTAAAGATCTGTAAAGGTGTTCGTACTTAGCTAGACCTAGGGTGGTTTCCAACGTTAAGGGAGATGAGGAATCAGCTATGAAGGAGCCGGTTGCTAAGGAAGATTTGTCGGATCCTGTCTGGGAACTGCTTCCTGATAGTAATCTCCCCAGTCCTTTGATTTTCCCGGGAAATTTAAGGGTAGAATGCTTTGAACCGAATTTGAGAGCCTTTTCTTCCCTGAAAATATAAATCCAATCCAAGGGGATGGGTATGTAAACATTAACGTTTTCGAAAGCGAATGTGGTCGTAACGGTTTTGGCGTGACGTAATGCGACCCCTGAGATTATATCACAAGTGATCTTGTACCCGATTATCCTATTTGACTGGATTGAGCCATTTGTGGTGTCGTAAGAATTTGGTGAGGCAATATTTTTAATGCTTTTCACTTTGATTTGAGCCCTGAGGGGAAGTTCGAAGTTTTCTTTGGTCGGAACGGTAAACCTAGTTAGTTCAAAATGCGTGGCGTCTAGCGGATAAAACCGAATGGCGTATTTCTTCGCCGCCTGTCCTATCCCTCCGTCATTCTTAGCCACGCAGGCGTGAAACTTGATAGACTTAACGTTGATTTTAATCCATTCATCCGAGACGCAAGGCATTATATCCTTCCGTCCAACTATTTCTGACCCAGCTCTACGCTGATCGTTCAAACCTATCTCACAATCCGGCATTCCGTTCAGGAAAGCCAGGCAAAACACTCTAACCCGTATCTTTTGGTCTGTCAAGCTGGCACCCGCCACTGAACCTTTTCTACTATACCTCCTTCCTATATCTATCACTTGGAAGGGTGCACCCGAGATCTGCGATATTACCCTGCCAGTATATTCTTCTTTGATCCAAATTAGGACTTCCTCCTTAGCGTATCCACCAGCGCCTACCGATATTAGCCTGTCCCTGTGAACGTCCAACTTGAATAGAGCCGTCTTCTATTTTGTTTATAAAGGATTCTATATACTCACTATCGAAGCTTCCAAATTTCAAGAGGGTTGACGCCTCTCTATGATATTTTGAAGGGTTAGCGATGTTCGTCATAGAAGATATGCCAATCGGCTCCTTGTAAATAACGTGCTGCAATTTCGTCACTAGAATCTTGCCGTAAATATCGTAAGCCTGTAAGTATGTTGGCATTATCTCGTAAGACGGTTGCAAACTTAGTTCTTGAAACGGAGTGGTATTCTCATTTTCGCCGCCTTTATACAAGCGAATTTTCCGGCCTGTGTTGAAAAACTTTAGTCTAATTTTTATCCAATACTGTTCGTTATTTACGCTCTTGGTGTTAGAGGTCCGAAGGTAGAGATGCCAAACTTTGGAAGTTGGGACTGATTTAACATTGAGTTCATTGTTGATCGAATTATCTGAAGAATAATTTGAAAATGAATTTTTTTTATCTTCGGATCTATTTACGTGTTCTTTCTTGGGTTGAGCAACATGTGTTTCACGAGTAATCAGATTTGAAACTTCAGGCGTCTCGTTGTTATCAAAATCGATTAACGAGAAATTACCCAAATCAGAGCGGGGCTGAGTTGTTTTAATAATACTTTCAATATAAGACTTCCGAGAAGTCGGTGTATTATTTCCATACGATAAAGTATCGGGAAAATTTTTCTTCAAAGAACTGCTTAATAGAATATCAGTATCGTGCAGAGAATCTTTCGGTCTAATACTTTCAATATTAGACTTCCGAGAAATCGGTGTATTATTTCCATATGATAAAGTATCGGGAAAATTTTTCTTCAAAGAACTGCCTAATAGAATATTAGTATCGTGCAAAGAATCTTTCGGTCCGATACTTTCAATATTAGAGCTCTGAGAAATCGGTGTATTATTTCCATATGATAAAGTATCTGGAGAATTTTTCTTTAAGGAACCGCCCAATAGAGTATCTGTATCGTGTTGAGAATCTTTCGGTCTGTTTGGGATATCTCTATTAGCACGTAAAACAGAGTTTTTAGCACCAGACACATGTGGATATATAGCAGCAATTTCGTCACTGGTTTTCATTTTGTTTTGCATGAAGTTATTTGTAAATGGATTCAAATTTTTCGAAGGTAAATGGTCTGTTTCAATTTGTTTTATAGGTGTTAGAATCTAACGTGATGTAAAAAAAATAAATAAAATAAGATAAAGGATGATACCCTCGGTAATAAACTTCATAATCTGTATATAATAAAAATTAATACTTGTGAGATATGAGAGAATCCACTAGGAACGGGTGCGGTTTCAAATGGGTTATGATTGTCTTGAATGTTGAGAACATTTTTTGAATCGCTGTCAAATCTTAACAAGGGCTCTTGATTATTATTATCATCAAAAATTTGATCCCTTGCCGCTGTTCGATCATAAGAAGAAGAATTCGAGACCGTGATCCTTTGACTATCTTCAATTTTTTGAGCAATGGGTTTTATAGGAGGTATAACGTTTTTCGTATCTACCAAACTTTTCGTAAAGAAATGACCTTCGCTTTCTTTACTCAAACTATGTTTCCTACCTGATATTATAAAAAAAAATTATGAGTGACATTTAATTACTCCTTTCTTTCTTCTTTTTTTTTACCTAACGTCCAAAGTTATTCTTCTCTTTTTTTTTTAGCTCTATTCGACATTTTCGATGACAAATAATACTTACCTAGCCCGACGATTTATTTATTAAAATGCATTTTGAGAGGAAATCAGCTGATAAACGCCATTTTGATTTCATATTTTTATCATTGTAAATGAAATTCTGATTTTTTTTTTAGATAAAAATAAAAGTTTTCCATAAAAATTTTAATGTAAATAGCTTTTATGCGGAAAAAATTAAAATGGCGTACCACCAGCTGATTTGTATTTTGATACAGATGTAAATAAATGAATCTTCAGTTTAGGTATTGTTGTATGTCATTAGCTACATTTTTATAGCTTAGAACTTTTATAACAAGGTTAGATAGTTAAAAAAATAATATGAACATAAAAATCGAAATGAATCAACCTATCGGTGTTTTGTTCAACGAATCATAGGCCTCATCTATTCCGTTTAAAACGAGTCCCGTTGAATATTTGGAAACGCTATCTCTTTTATCACCTGTTTCTGGTTGTTGTACAGGGACACTAGATACGGTATCACTATCTTGAGATGATATCTTTATCAAAGCCCTGTCTTCAGATTTAGGGGGACTGCCTTTAACTGATTCTTTATCGTAGTCTAGTGCAATACTTTTGGGGAGTGCGGTGTTGGGTCTTTCCATTTTACGAACATTTTTAGCTGCGTTTTCTGTAGTTTCGTATTTCCTATCCTTGTCTACTTTTTTTTTCTCCTTTTTAATCTTCTTCATCATCTTCTTGTAGGCCTTGGGTTCCATATTTAAGATATCTATAACAGCACCGGGGTAAAATGACTTATCGTCCAATTTTTTCTGGAGTTCTAATTCTTTCAATTTTACATCTTGAGGAATTTCGCCGCTCAATCTTTTGGGAGGGAGCTTCAAAATCCCTATCCAGTCATCGTTCTCCCTGTTTTTAAGATTATCTTGGGACATCTTTATGGTATCTGAAACCTTAGCCGTCAGCTTCTGAAATTGTTCCCATGAGTTACCTTCATCTTCTAAATCTCTATCGAGGTTCTTCTGGGACTCTATAACATAATTTAATATGATTTTTAAAAAATAGGTAGTATTTGTCGTGATCAAAGCACAGGTTTAAATAAGTGGGGTCTAACCTTTTCTACTTATAAAAAGGACTAACTTTTAAGATGAAGTAAACTTTATCTAATAATTAACAAATAAGGAAATTTATTATCTTAAATTAATCAGGAGTCCGATAAAGTTTCTGAAAGATTCTAGCTTTTCTACTTCCGTTCCTCGAGAAAACTTATTTTTTTTCCAACCTTTTAATATTGTTATGAATTTTTTTTTTTTTAAATGAAACTTTCTTTACGAGTTATTGAGGCCTTTTTAGGTGCGGTTGGGGCGGCTCGTTTTTTCTTCATTTTTTCACTATTGGTATCGTATATTTCAAAATCGGCAATTTTCTGGGGTCTGTACGGGGCTAGTGAAGGAGGGGGTGGTCGTTTAGGAGGGGAATGGAATTCTCGTACCTCTTGACTCCTCATTGTCGGATGTTCAGTAAGATCACTTGATTGATTGTTGGGATCATATCTTGCCCACATAGCATTTGCATCACCTCTTTGATCATCCGCGGCGGTATTAGTGGCACCGATTCGAATAGAACCGATGTCCAGAGGGGGCGGGGGCATGTTAGGGGGTGCGATACTGTCATAGGAGGTAAGAGAGGCTCTAAAATTCTGCTCGTATTCTGGGATGGAAGATATTTCATCGCTATTGTCATTGTCACTGACGCCAGTTGCAACGTTATCATATGGTTGATCGATATCGCCTCCTCGCACTAAATCAAACTTACTTAATGGTACTTCATTCATGGGTGTTGTTAAAGAGGCAGCTTCGTTTACTTTACTTTGTAATTTCATCGTTTCCTCTATGTTGCTACGGTAAAGGTTGTTAAGAGAATCCGATGAATCGGCGTAGTAGTTCAGTAAAGAGTTAGATATCTTTCTCTTAGATGCCAAACTGTCATTAACTAACCGTTCCTTAGTAAGATTCTCTTCAGGCTCCAAGGCCAAGTCCTGCATTGCAGCTGTAAATTTGGCCGCTGTATTCGCGATTTCGATCTTTATTTTTTTTTAGAAATGTGTTAGAATGAAAAGAAGGATTTATCAGGGTTTTGGACCCCAAATTTGGGGTTCAGAAATTTTAAATTGTTAGGCCGAGCATTTTGAAACTACAGACCAAACAGAGACCAATTTAAGGGCAACCCATAGAACTTGGGGGTAAATTGACCGAGGGCGGGTAGATCTTTCTTTAGAATATAGGTTTTCGAGTAAGTTCCTGTTATCATATTTCCGCTAAATAGAGTTTAAAATTCCTGAACCCAAATTTGGAGATCCCTGGATTTTGTTGATACGCGATAGAGTCTTCTACGGAACTGCCCAAATCGGATCTGCCTATAGGTGAAATAGACAGGGCTGGGCCCATACTCGGGAAATATATTTTTTTCAAAAAATTTTTTACACCCTGATATAATTATTGAATATTTTTTTTTATAACCGTGATGTATATTTTTTTTACTCCTCTTTTAAATTTTGATTTAAAAATATAATTTCCTGCATATAAATAAATTTGAAATTAATTAATGATCTCATTTTTAAAAATTTGTCATAAAAGAATAGAAGGAAATTTCACCTTGAAAGAAAAAAGCCTATCTGGCTGAGAAATAGGGATCTCTAGAAAATTTCTAATTGTAGTATTTGTCTAGGGCATCATAAATATTGTTATGACACCTAAAATCTATCTATTTTTTGTTGATTTGACAGGATAATTGTACTTCGGGGTGTACAGAGGTATCCAGAACTGTGAATTTCAAACAATTTACCTTTTAGTACTATAATCTATTAATTGTAAATAAATAACGCAAAAGTTTTTGGCGCGAAAAATTATCTGTAAAAATGCGTTAGGGTAAAAGGTGCTCAACACATGCTGAAATTCATTTCCGGTTTAATGAGGGTTTTAAAAACATTATTAAAATTGCCTCGCCTTCGGTGAACGATTTAACCTTGAGAAGGTTCTGAATCCCCGCGGATTCCGTTATGCGACATACGCTTTCCATTTTTTTTATTTAAAAGATTTCTTATATGTTTAGATTGAATGTCTTATGTGGTTATGTTTTAAAAACTAAAAAATGAGTCGTATTAGCTTCGTGGCTAGTAATCAGAGTTGTTAAGGCCCTGAAGTGGCCCGCTAGTACTTGAAGCGGCAGCTAGCTCCTTTTAAAAAATTGGTAGCGGGAGCTGAAGCTAGCTCTTTTTGAGAAGGTAGGATCGGTAGCGGGAGCTAGTTACTTTTAATAAGAAAGCGTTAACTACTCTGCTATTAATATATATTTTAAAAAAAAAACAAAGCAAGAAAAAAAAAATTGTTAACAATTTATTGAAAAATTTTTCCCAATATAATTTCGAAGTTCAAGGGTTTTGCTTGGTTAAAATTATTAAAAAATTGTGGGGGAAAAAATTATTTATCTCGGGGCCTTCGACCCGGGGTAAAGTGGACATGGGCTTATTTGACTTCCCACTTTTTTTAATGCTCATAAATTATTACCTTTATTTGTACTTACTTCAAAGTGTCTTTTATTATATTTTTACTTCTATACTTTTTATGCTATTATTTTTTGCTTTATGTATTTATTATAGAACCAGTATATCCTTTGATCTCATTTTTTTGTTGTTGTTATTTAAGGAAATTACTTAGCGCGACTGTTTGGCAAAATATTACGAAAGAAAGAAAGAAAGAAAGAAAGAAAGAAAGAAAGAAAGAAAGAAAGAAAGAAAGAAAGAAAGAAAGAAAGAAAGAAAGAAAGAAAGAAAGAAAGAAAGAAAGAAAGAAAGAAAGAAAGAAAGAAAGAAAGAAAGAAAGAAAGAAAGAAATTAACCTCGAAAATTATGATAATAGGAATGTTACAAAATTGTATGACAAATATAATATTCAAAATAGCATTGAATATTACCTATTAAAATTTATAAGATATTCAACAATATAACAAGGCCGAATCCAAAATATGATAAAATTTAAATTCGCAAACTTTACAAACTTTAATGGAAATAAATAAAAATAAGCTATTTTAAATATAAAAATGAAAAACGTGTCCAAAACATTTCCAAGAAAAATTTATATACATTTTCAAAAATTTAATATTAGAATTCGTTAAAATTTTAAAATTTTTGAAACTTAGTAAATTTTTTTAAAAATGATTTTGGACATAGCCTTATTTTTTTTAAGGTGGTTTTTCGCCTTACCCTCCAAGAGTAAAAGATTAAATGTCGTTCTATATGTTGTGTTATCATTGCATAATAAACATATTTATCAAGAATTAAACTACCAATAGGAAAAAAGATTATTTTAAGGTGAGGATTTTTGAGGAAAATTATTGGTTTATTTTTGCTATAAAACAAATTTAAAACTATTTCTTGTTTTTTTAAATTGTTTTTTTTTTTGGAGTTATAAGTTGAAAAGAATGATAAGCTTAGGATGGAAAATCCTACGAGAATGGGAAATAGAGATTTCAGGATTCGAGGGAGATATCAGTTATTAATTCAAAATAAAGAAATTAATTGCGCTGAAAAAAAACAAATTTGTTTGAATAAATGTAAATATAAAAAACAATCATTTCAAATCATTCAAAAAAAAATCAAATTATAAAAAAGCCTTTCTTTTTACATTTGATTAAACTTATGTAAATTAATACAACCATGAAATTTATTTATTGAACTTTACATAATCTATAATTGGAAAAAATTTTTAAGGCCAGACCCGATCAAATATGTACCCGGCCCCGTTACATTATTTTTTATTAGTAAGTCGCCAGGGCCGGTCATATTATAAAGCCTAACCCGAAATATATGTAGTTTGAACACACCCAAATAAACAATAATTTATAATATTATGGATTCTATCTTTCTTTCTTTTCTTTTCTTTTCTTTTCTTTTCTTTTCTTTTCTTTTCTTTTCTTTTCTTTTCTTTTCTTTTCTTTTCTTTTCTTTTCTTTTCTTTTCTTTTCTTCTTTCTTTCTTTTCTTTCCCCACCAGGCTCAAATAAATCAGACGTTGAACAGGAAAGAAAGAAAGAAAGAAAGAAAGAAAGAAAGAAAGAAAGAAAGAAAGAAAGAAAGAAAGAAAGAAAGAAAGAAAGAAAGAAATCCTACTTTATTATTACATAAATGAAACCTATTATAATTAATTAATTATATTAACCGTACATCGATGGGAACTTTTTCCGATCTTCCATAATCCGAAATCCCTAGAGGTGCAACATGTTCCTTTGTGGTGTCAGCAGGATCGTAAGACGCCATACTTTGGGTACGCCTATGAAAAGGAAGGGAAACCTCTTTCGGGCCACTGACGCTTGATTTTACGCTCCTCCTCTGATTTAAATTTAAAACTTTATCGGCGAACTTGGACCATTCCGCATCAACATCGCTTTCCAAATTCAGGGTACTCAAACTTTTCCGCCTTTTTTGCCTATCCTTAAAGGGAAACGCGGAGGAAGTTTCCGCGTCGCTCTGATACATGTTAGGCAATCTTATATTGATTTTCGTACCGGATCTATTGGAATCTTGACCACTCGTAGTCGAAAATATCTGAGTATCATTATAATAATTGCTGTCGGACGTGTAATCCTCGATTCTAGAGCCCCTTATTGGAGTGGTACTACGAGGTCTGGCTATCGAAATATAGTCATAACTTTTACTAAAGTCTTTACCGGTGATAAGATTTTCGTGCCTCCTATTCCTTTCTCCTATGCCTTTGCGGTGATTGACAGGCTTTTCGCCTACACCCGCCGTTTTGGGGTATCCGTAGTCTATAAATGGGTTACTACCTTTGGGCAGCAACTTAGAAGAATAGTAAGCACTTTGACTAGAAAAGGCCAATTCTGGCGTGCCACGATCTTCCTCTAGGGAGTCCTGAGAGATCAACTTCATTTCGGCCATCGCATTTTCGTTCGGGTGTGACGAATCAATATCACGAGACGAACCCGATATTTTATTGTCCAACTCTTCATCGCTTCCTTGCATCGAATAATTCCCGGAAATTACTTCTTTACCTTTATCCCCTCTCGAAAATGAACCGTAATAATGTTTGCCAAGGTCTTTAGCGCCCGCAGTTTTAGCCGAACCCAGGGAGGACAACGATTCGCTTTGTTTATGAGAAAGATTGGGTGGCTCGCCCTCGGTCGATTCAGAGGAAGAAGAAGAATATTCGGAATACCGACCATCGCCGGTTATTTTGTTTCGGGATAAGGGCCCCATAGCTTGGAGAGGCCCGCCATTTTTGCCCGATTTGCCTTTTTGGCTCGAATTCCTACTCGTAACTTTTTTCTCCTCGGCATCCTTACCCAATTTAGAATCGGATCTATCCTTACTTTTCCGCCGCCCGAAGATCATGTGGATCAATTCGCTGCCTCTCCTAGCCGAGGCGCTCAATATGCTACCGGATCTTTCCCTAAAATCGTCTACCCTCTCCTCCCTCGATTTGAGAGGGTGGGGAGGGTTGCTAGCGGGTAAATTTTTCCGTCCGCTCGACTCTTCTATCCTGTCAAAAATTCTATCGAAACTCGTATCGCGATCCTGTGCCGAGCTCTCCGGCGGAGTATTCCTATCCCGCCATAATTTTGTCGCGTTCCTATCTCCCACGTCTCGGGTTCGGGAGTCGTTTAGACTTTCGGAATCGCTATTTTTGTGAAAATATTCCTTCTCAGAACTCTTGCCCCTTTTCATATAGAAGTTTAATTGTTTTTCAAATATTGTTTTTTTTTTTTTAAAAATGTATTTAATTCTTTAAATTTCCATTTATTAATTATTTATTTTTTTTATTTCATTTTAATTGGATGTCATTTTGTCTTTTTTTTAATGTATTTTTTTTTTAAAAAATCAATTTTTCATTTGAAAGACATTAAAAAGTTTTTTTTTATATATATTTCTTGAATTTTATTGTTTAAAAATCCACTTTATAATATAATATAATGGGAAAAAAACATTTGAAATAATTCTTTTTATTAACAAATCATTAAAAAATAATAGAAAAAAATATAATATTTATAAATACTTTATATAGGCAATCTCTTCATATTTTATATCTTATCGGTTATCGATTTTTGCCTATATGTTTCGTGGTAAATTAAAATCGATTTTTATTTTAGATGTTTTTTATAAAAAATTGTTTTTGAAAAGTCTAAAAAAAATTAAAACGACATTGCTTAAAATATTTAGATACAATTTTATTTTCATGTTTTTTTTAAAAGGGGTTTTTTTTTTCCTTCTTTTATTTTATTTTTTTTGTTATTTTTTGTTATTTTCTGTATTTTTTTTTTGTTATTTTATTGATTCCCTAAAAAATATGTAGTTTAAAAAAAGATATAATTATAATTAAATATTTGATTTTGGGCCCAGGGATTGGAGTGTTTTATCTCAAAATTTTTTTGGAATTTTGATATATATATATATGTAATATAAAAAAATCGTTTTGAAAGATAAACGCCTACTCTGGAATTCAGTGTTGTTCATTGGTGTTGTTAGAGGGATCATTTTGAGCCAATTTTTTAAAAACGGCTAATTCAATATTTTTATCCAGATGAATATTACGCAAGTTCTGAAGATTTTGGTCATAAATGGCCTGAAGGTTTAAACATCTAATAGCCAGATCTCGGGGTTTAGGCAACATTTTTTTTCTGGCTAAAATATGAAGTTAACCGGTTTTAAAAATCGGCTCACGGTTTTAAAAATCGGCTCAAAACGAGCCGTTTCACAACCAACACTCGGTTAAAAAGCTCGATTCTAGGTGACCACCTGCGAAAAGCGAGATTAATAAAACGATTGGGAGAATGGATTAAAATAAGGAAAATAATATAGGAACGGTTGGCAAGCAGTAACGAAACTTGTAAATATTTACCTATCAACTTTATTTCATAATTTACGAACATAATTTTAAAATGAAACGAGACAATAAAAATTTAAAAAGCAATAAAAAAAAAAGTTAAAATTTAATTCTTTTCCAAAAAAATTGAAAAATGAAAATCATATTCACAAAAATCTCAAATATATATATATAATATCTTTCCTTTAAAAATTTACGACTTCGTAATATGATCATTTACATAGTCTATAATATGAAATTAATATCTTTCCTTTAAAAATTTACATCTTCGTATTACATAGTCTATAATATGGAATTGAGGAATCCTGGAAAAAACCCGGGATTTAACCACCCAGAAAAAAAATCCCCAAGAAAAAAAACCGCCAGAATTTTTTATAGAATTTACTTGAGACCTGAATAATATAGATATTTTTTTTTATTTGGATTATAATGGATATAGACTCATATTTTTTAATGTAATAAAAGAAATTAGTATTTTAGAAAAAATAAATAATATTTATTAAAAAATATAAATATATTAATAAATTATTATGTCAATTGGTAATTATAATATCGTTAATAATTCTTTTCTAATTTTATTTTGCATAAGAAAATTAATTTATATGACAAACAAACAGTAAGTTTGAGGTTTTAATTTTTCAAAGATTTAATCTTAATTTTTTTTTCAAGGCAGTTTAAACGCCTGGCTTAGCCCGTATCAAAGTTACCCAAAACCAGAGAGATAGCGGAATGGTATAGGGGGGGGGGGGTTGGAATCACCCTTAAAAAAAATGATAATAAGAGATTGCGAATAATTATTTTTTAAATAATAAGTTCATTAATATTCTAGAATACATAAATGTGAATAAACAAAGGATGGATATAAAATTTAATATTCTTTTTCCGAAGACTTGCAAGTGATTGATTTGGATCCAAGCAGGATTTTTCTTTTAAAAAAATTTAAATAATTTTGGCGGTATTTTGTTAATTTGTTTCAAAAGGGAAAAGAAGTAGGTTGATTGATAAAGTTTTAAATTTATATCATTTTTAAAAAAAAAAAAACGGCGCCAATCTTGCCTTAAAATTTGTAAACTTGGGGTCTTAAAACCAGGTTTGTAATTACCCGGTTTTTTTTAAAGAAAAAAATGGCGCCATTTTTCCAGCTGGATTCAGACCTTTATAAGGTTTACAATAGGGATAAAGAAATATTTAAAATAGTAGGAAGTGGAGCATTTATATGTCCCAAGCCTTTCTGCCATCTATGTGGAAAAATTTTAAGGTTTTATATAAATTGTTTATTTTGGTTTTAATCTTAATCACTCCGTTTTTTTTAAAAAAAAACCTCCAATCTGGCATTTTAACGACACTTACTTTCTAGCTGTACAAGTCATATCCCATCTTATAAGCTCGTCGAAAGTAGTCGATTTCGCTAATAGACCCCATCGTTATAGTGGCATTTATATTTCGTCTAAATAATGCATTTTGATGGTGGAACTTCGTTGAGTATTTTTTTTTCTTTTAAAAATGCATTTTTAACCAATAAATCGTGAGTCTAAGTTACCCCGCATCATTCACAGTTAGCGGAAAATCGCGGCGAAGTATTCATCTGAGAACCTGCAGACCCGACCCTAGGTCCGGACCGTAAATTAAATGAACCTTAAAAACCTAAATCTTTATTAACATGAATTATTTTTCTTATACAGAGATTTATTGTTTTTGGGGTCACAATTCACACTTGGCAAATTGTGTAGATTTTGTGATCTTCTTATATTATTTTTTTTAAAAAAACCCATAATTATATAGGCCAGGGCAAGATTAAATCATTGTCGAAATCAGAATCGAAACTATTACATTGCTAGGGGTAGGGGGGAGGGGAACTATTAGGATGCCCCTACCCCATAGAATTTGATTGGAGTTATGACAATTATTTCCTGTTTCCATTCTTTTAGAAAAATTTTTGTTTTTTTTCTTCAAAAAAATGATATTCAATGATTATTTAATAAACTTAGGCCTAATTTTTATAAAATTCTAAAGGATAATTTTTTAAGAAGCTTTAAGGTGTTTTGTGTTTGATTTTAAAACTTAATGGTAGTTAATAAAATCAAAGATTTTTTTAATACATAAAAATCATAAAAGTACATAATAAGAATAAAATCGAATATTTTTTTAAAATATATAAAAATCATAAAAGATAAATAAATCGATGATTTTTTTAAAATACATTAAAAATCATAAAAGATAATAAAATCGAAGATTTTTTTTAAATACATAAAAATAAATTTGTAATTTTAAGATAAAATTTGATATCAAATAATGCTCACAATTTGAACATTTTATTTTTATTTTGAAAAGAACATTTTTCAAAACTACGAATTAAGACTATTATCTAAATTCTCTTTTGGGAACAGAAGTAACACTTATTCCTCAATCCTGCAAATCCATTCAATCCCAGCTAAGAATCGGTCAATCATATTTTACTTCTTCAAAATGAATCTCTACAATAGCTTATTAAATTTTTATTAAAAATGAATTGAAATTCTAACCCTTCTCTTATCCAAAAAAAATAGAAACTAAAATTATGCATAATGTCCACATTATAGTGCGCACAAATTGAGCGTTTACGTTTTGCCGTTATTTTAAATAAAAAAAACGTAACGCTTCCCTGGTTCAAATTGAGGTTGCCTTTTTTTATTAATATCAGTTCGATTTAAAATTTTAAATAAGTTTCCAAATAAAATATAGGATTTGTCTTTTGTAAATTATATTATCGTCTGCGTTTTTATTTCATCAATTTCTAAATATTCATTTTTAGGATTATAAGTATGTTAATTTATATAATCGTCTGCGTTTTTATTTCATCAATTTCTAAATATTCATTTTTTAGGATTATAAGTATGTTAATTTATATTACATTTTTATATAATATTACAAAGCGAAATGAAAAAGAAAACCTGCGTTTTTTTTAAAAATGGTTGCTAACACCAAACGGTGAATTTGCCAATTTGCGCGAGGCCATTTAAAATGCATTTATTTGCGCTTGCAACGCGGCGTTTGAGACGCTCAATTTGTGCGCACTATTAACTAATTTGAGAACTAAGAAAATATTATCAATAAGACTTAATGACTCTTAATAAATTCATAATTCATCACCAAATGATAACAACACAATATAATATAAGCTATTTTTACTAATTAAACGGATTCACGAATTTTATAAATATCTCCAAATTTTCCAAATAACACAAAATTATAATAATATATATATATATTTAAAATATATACTGTTTAGATGACAATAAATATAATACATCAAATAGAATGAAAAGAAATGTCAAATGTAAGTCTTTCTATTATAAATATATAAATTATAATAATATTTTTAAATTTAAATAGATAGATAGCATTTGTAAAATATTAAATATATTAAATAAATTATGATGAAAGTGTGCCATCTAGTTTTGAAAAATATATTGCAAAAATGATAGTTTAAAAGAAGCCGTTATTCGTCTAAAAATGAAAAATAGGGGACAATCTATGAATTCTCAAGTTTAATAAAATATATAATAAAAATGATAGAAAGGTAGCACACACGCATGCGCATACTATGCAACCTCTTAAATTTTCATAAATAAATTATTTGTTTATTATTATATAATTTGAAAGATGTGAAACGAAATTTATAAATTATTGCGTGTCGCGGCAGCGGAAAATTATTAAGATTATATTAAATCTTTCATTTAAACTTTGGGTTTTTTGATGATAAAAAAAAGGGGTAATGTTAAATTTGGCAGTTATAAAATTTTGAATAAAAATTAGGTAAAATCTGAAGAAAAAACAAAAAAAAGTACCATTTCTCAGTTAATCGCACCAAAAATATTTTTTAAAAAAGGTGTTCACTTAACCGTAAAAGTATCTCACCGCAAAAAAAACCAAAAAAAGAAGAAGGAAATCATTTAATTTTTGCAGGGCAGTGGGAGTCGGGGTAATATGGTTAGCGCGCTAAAATATAAAACTAAAAAAAAGAGAACGAAATCATTTAATTTTTGCAGGGAAATGAGATTCGGGGTAAGATGGTAATAAAAAGAAAAAAAAGAAATCATTCAATTTTGGTAGGGCAATGAGAGTCGGGGCAACATGGTTAGCACGCTAAATTATAAATTATATAAACCGAGAATACATTTTTAAAATACCGCTTGCAATTTATTAAAGGGGATGGGGGGGGGGGTAAAAAATGAAGGAAAGTTTTATTTTGTGTCATTTTTTTGTAAAAAAAAATATTTTAGTTGGCGATCTTTACCGATTGCTTAATGGGTTCGTTGGGGTTAGGGAGCTTGACGTCAGTGGGTGTCACGTTCCAGATATCTTTGGCGTATTCTGTGATAGCCCTGTCACTGCTAAATTTGCCAGAGGATGCAATATTCATTATACATTTCTTGGCCCACTCGATGGGGTCCTATGAGCGGGGGAGGGAAAAAAATGAGAATAATGAGGTACAATTTAGCATACCTCGTGTATACATTATTATGGATAAAACATTTTAAGATTTTAAACCTGATACAACGCTGAGACCCTATCCTGCGCCTTGATGTATTCCTCGTAGTCAGCCATTAGGCAAAATCTTTGAAGCAATAATTAAAGAAATGAATGAAGAAACAAACAAAGAAAATCAATTCATAGAAAGAAATAAATAAAGTAAGAAAAGCCACATTTTATATAGTAAATTTCAAATAAAATAATCTATGGGACCATTATTTTTTTGGCGTTGATTAAGCCGACTTTGAAAGAAATTGGCCGACTTTTTAGCCAAAAAATATCGGCCATAACTTCGGGGCTAATGCCAAATCATTTGGGATTGGCTCGAGCCTCGAGAAATGAGCCAAAAATGTTTCGACATTATGTCGGTCGTTTTTTTACACACACGTATAATATACCTATCATTGTTCAACAAGTTGTGAACTATATCGTGAAACAGGTCGTGCTGTTCCGGACTGAAGAACCCGTTTTGAATTTGATCGATGGCTTGTCTCAGTTCTGGAATTCTCTCGTAAAAAGACTTGGGATTGTAACTAAAAAATATATGTTAAACATATTTATAAGAATTAAAGCAATAATTTGCATCTTTTGTTATTTTAGAAAGCTTTTTACCTTTTGGTGTCTTTATTTCTTTAAAGTAAGAAGAGAAGAGGGTAAATGGGGTGATCAATCTTTAATTTTTTATCTATAGGTCATGTGTTCATCAGTGGGTAATGGTAGATTTAAAACTATAAAGATTGTGGTATCAGATACTAGAAGAACTCGTCAATTTTTGACAAGAAAAGCATCATGGGTTTTAAAGAAGGCAGAGATGGCGATGGCCCCGGCATTGCTTCTACCTAAAGGGAAGCAAGCCCGGGTGGGTTAGACTTTCTAAATGGATATGGAAAGCCGAGTATGGGTTGGGGAAAAGAGTAGAGTTTAAGGAACAGAGAATTTTGTCTTACTGTTATTCAGTGCTTACCACGATTGACTAGGGGAACGAGTAACTATTATTGAGATTTCATACTCTGTAATCTTTCAATTGTATTTTATTAGGATTCCCTTTTTAGTTCCTGTTTATGCCAATTCGTCATCTCCGAATATAAGCATAAAGGTATCAAAGCGCATGCTCATAACAAGAAGAAGAAAAATCGTTAAGGAAAATGAAAATTTTAAAATTCATTTTTTTGGACGAATCCGCTGATTTCTATTGTGTCCAATAGGATCTTTCCGTTGAGCTAAAACAACTGATTGATAAAGTCTAATTTTTTTTCCTCATGTTAAGAGGCCAAATCAACATTCTTATTTAGTGTTACATAAATTTAAATCATAACGCGTTTAAAAAAAAAACCAACCCTTTGGCCCACAAGGCATCGACCTCGGGGACTGTCATGCCGAATATAAAGATATTGTCTTTCCCCATTTCCTCCATCATTTCGACATTCGCGCCATCTAGGGTTCCGATCGTCAAAGCGCCGTTTAACTATTTACGTATTTTTGCGTGACATAAAAATTTGAAAAAAATAAATAAAATAAAATTGGGTATAAGGGGATCATACGTGTATAAATCAAATTATGAATCGACTAAACAAACGAATTACTACTATTCTCTACCAACTCAAAAAAAAATCATTTATAACCACCCAACCCCCTTCCCATACACAAAATTAGGAATTCATATCTGCAAAGTACGCCAAAGCAACTAATACTTAAAAAAAAACCCTCATCCCTCTTTTAAAGAACCGAAGCTTTTCTTTTGGTAAAAAATTGAACCATGGGAAATAAACATCCATTACCATAAGCTTCATATTGCCGGTACCAGATGCTTCCGTTCCGGCTAAGCTGATCTGCTGGCTGAGATCGGCGGCCGGAATAATTTTTTCGGCCATACTGACCCTGTAATTCTCGAGAAATATGAATTTAAGCCTATTGCCCACCACGGGGTCGTTGTTAACGATATTCCCTATGTTACATATGAGTTTTATGATCTTTTTGGCCATGTGATAACCCGGGGCGGCCTAGATAAGGGGATAAGAATACGCATATATTTTATATATCAGTTTCATCAATCTTTCAAACAGTTTTAGAATATAACAGTAAATTATATCATAATTTAATATCATAAAGTGCCTCCAAAAAAGGGTAAAATATCCGACTTATTTTTCGGGCCCGCCACCCCATCCAAGTCAAGCCCGACCGAGTCTTAAAGACGGACAAGTCCGCATGGGATATCTATTATGATTGATTTGGATAAGGAATGAGGTGGTGTAGGCGCAATACAAGTATGATATTAAATAGGCGGCCTACTTTTCCCCCGATCATCACGACCCTGGGAGTGAAATTCTTGTCCGGGTTCTTCTTGATCCTGTTGTAGACCGTTATCACGTGCAGAGCGTTGAGGAGCTGCCTTTTATACTCGTGGATACGCTTGATTTGAAAGTCAAACATGGCCGATGGGTCCACCGTAACATTGTTAGCCTTTTGGATGTAATTAGCGAACCTGAGCTTGTTCTCCTATTGGATAAAAAAAATTTTTTTTTATTATTATTTGTAATGTGTGAGAAAAGGATGGGCTTATTTCTTTTGCGCGTGCTCAAATGATAATGATTCACAAAAAAATTTATAACCGTGATAAAACGGGAGCTAAAATAAATAAAAATTTAGATATGTCCTCTAAGATAACTTTAAATAAAGCTACAAGAAGATTTGAATTATATCAAATAATTGCTTTTAATTAATATTAATTTTAACGTGTTTGGGGTCATGTAAACAACTGAGTTATTCAGCCAAATCCAAAATCGGCTAAATTGAGGTTAAAGCCGAAAATCTCAGCTATAGGATTTTGAAAAGATGGATCAATCTTTGAAAAAGCGGGAAAAAAAATTGATTCTATCTTGAATGAGTCATCAATGTAGCATAGCCCCCCTCCCTCCCACTCTCCGAATTTTCGAAATCTCTATGGAATACACATGACATTTAATTAATACACGATATCATTTATGATTAAGGTTGAATTAACATGGTGGAATCCCATCTGACAACGATTTAACAGCTGAGTGATTTTTTTAAAAAAATCATCTAATAAAATCAATCAATATTAATAAATTGATCTAATAAAAACAGATTTTTAAAAATTATATCGGCTGTTAAATCGTGATGGATCGGATCTCACCAGGAATGCAGCATAAGGAATAAAATTACGAGAGATCTTGTCATTCATAGTAAGCCTTTTCTTATAATCTAAAAAAAGCATAGCTTTACTCAACATCCCTCAAATAAAAAAGGATCAGTTTCATCTACTTTTCGTTAGTTATTTTTTTTTTTAAAAAGAAGTTTTTTAAGTACCTGTTTCGCTTTCATGATAGCTAAAATGAAGGCCTTGTTCGAGATCTGACTTTCCAGCTGACGCAGTTCGTACAAGTGGTTTACAAATCTATCCCCTATTTTCTATAGAAATAGAAATATTTTAATTTGTCGATATTTTACGCGAAAGGAGGAATAATTTTTGCGAAATCTCATTTCAAAAAAAAAATATATAACACCACCCAGTATTGGACTTATAAGGCTTATACTTTGTATATTAAGGGCCTGGGCCGATTCGACCCCGACCCAGCATGACTCTAAAATGTCAATCATTTATAGCATACCTATCGATGTCCTGTTCGCCGTGGGTCTGGAGTTTAAAAATAACAGCGGGAATTAATTTTTATTTGTAATAACTCGGAATACTTATTAGTTGATAAAAGAAAGTTTTATTAATGAATCACTTTTGAAGATCACTCAATTTTCTTTTTTTGAAGAATAATCTTCATTCTCAAAAAAATCTTCATTCTCAAAAAAAATAATCTTTTGAAGAAAATTTCATTCATTCAAAAACTCTGTTCTCAATTTTCAAAAATAAAAAAAATGTTTGCAAACCATAACGATTAAATTTATTTTTTTTCTCTTTCTTTTTTTTTAAAAAATGTCTTTATTATCTTTTATTCGCTTCTCTTTTTATTTATTTCGAAAATTTCTTTTTTAAAAAAAAAATAGGAAAAGAGATATAAAAGTTTACATCCGCTATGACGTCAGCCAAACCGGGATTGCAGAGTAGGAGCCATCTTCTCGGGGTAACTCCGTTCGTCTTGTTCTGGAATTTGTACGGCCACAATTCGTAGAAATTTCGGAAGCTATTATTTTACGCGCGATTTTATTAGAAAAAAAATTATGAGCGCCTTTTACAAAAAAAATTAAGAAAAATATGGGGTATTCTAGACCCGTTTTGTTCGGACCCCAATCAAAAACCTGATAAGGAAGAAGAAGAAGAAGACGAAAATAGATTTAAAAAATTTATATGAAATCATTCCAATCCCGACCATGGATCCGGCCAATCAAAACTAAATAAAACTATTGGAGAGTTCACAAAAAAAAATAGAAGTTAGAATCGGGGTTTTTAAAATGCTCCTATGTTCTTAAATTGAAGATTTTTTAGTCAGGGGGGCCGGTTTGGACCGCGACTCATGCACAACTTATACTTATGATGGCAACGAAACTCTGCCGAATCATCGCATTCGCGAACCCTAGAATATTATCTATCAGATTCAAATTCCTTCCTTCTAATAACGATCTCTATTTTTTTTAGCACAACCTGAATGATATCATCTTAGTACTTTCGCTAATTTTATTGCGGTACCAATTTCGATACAAAAAAAAGTATATATATATAAAGTAACTTGAGTAAGAAGAGGTGTGATTCATCCAACTAAGTGTTGTTAAAGGGCTCAGTTCGCAATACTTTATCCAGATAAAATATTACGCGAGCCCTAAAGATTTCGCTCCTAGATGGCACATAGGATTGAGCATCTTGGCGAAATCTCGAAAGCTTAGGCAATATTTTCTCGGCTATAATGTCGAGTTAGCCGTTTTTAAAAAATCGGCTCAAACCGACCCGTTTAACAACACTTCAATCTAGCCTACCCAATATTCCCCAATTTCGGTTATTATCTTAAATATAAGATTATATCGTCGAAAGTTTATAGGTTGCTTTTTTTTGTAAAAAGTCAATCGTCGATATGGGAGTAGCTAAGGATAAGGATTAGGAAAAAAAAAATTCGTGATTTTCTTCATTTTTTTAAAAATATAAAAATCGCCATTTTTTAATCCCGATACTTAACAATTATTTAATTCGACAATTAATTTAGATTTGAAAAATTTTATTTTTGGGAGGGGTTTTAAAACAATTTAAAATTAGAAGAGAAGATATTTCTTTCTTAAGTGATTTTAATGTTGTTAAACCACCTAGCTTTAGTTAGCTATAAAATAGAGTAGCCATGTTTTTAACCAAAAATATTACAATCAATCTTCGAGTTGAGACTCACCTTAGAGGCTTAATTCAGTTTTTTAGGCTAGAAGCCTAACTAAGCCTCAATTAAGATGGTCAAAGTTAGGTATTAGTTGTTGTCAAATTTTGTATTTTTGAGGAAAAAAAAAATTAAATTTAGTATTTTTCTTTTATTTGATCAAAATTTAGTAAATAAAATCGCATTTCAAATTAAGTGATTTTAATCTCTCTTTTTTTTAGCCAACCCTATTGGAAGACATATGATTCCAATACTCAAGGCACTTGGAATTGTAAACCAAAAACAAACGTGGTATGTTTGATGATCTCCGTGTGAATCGCCGCGACACCGTTAACGGCGTGGCTGCCCACTATAGCCAGATGCGCCATATTAACTCGCTTACCGCCATCCTCTTCGATCAGCGACATGTGTCTAAGCCTATCATTGTCACCGGGCCATTTGCCTCGCACCACCTTTGAGTGAAAATAAATAATATAACACATAAGCAATTGTCAGGGGTTGGAACCATTTATATAAACTTTGGGAATTGTTGACGGATAATCTCTACAAAATCATAGGGTTTTTACTGAGTAAATCAATCAATCGTATCCAAAGTTCCTTTAAAAATTTTAAGCATTAAACTTAGGAATATTTCTAGGAACCTTATTAGACCCGATTTCTGGAATCAGAACTAACTTTCTTAGAAAAGTTCAAGAATCCTGATATTTTGTTTTTTTTAATACCTTATTTAAGAACCGATTTTCCTCTAGAAAAAAATGAGAAAATATGTTGAATTCCTTACGTCCATAAATTTTTCGTTGATGACGTAAATGATTTCCAAATGTCGGGGCAAAAGGCTTTCAAACATCGTGACGGGCCATCGCTCCAGGGCTTCGGGTAAAACGGTGTGATTGGTGTAAGCGCAAGTGGCCTCGGTTATCTTCCAAGCCTGGCGTAACATTTTCCATAAATTAAGCAATATTAAAAGGCATCGATTTATAAAAAAACATCCCTACACATTCCTTTATGCCGGGTCCTCCTAGATTCATTCCGGAAATAGAAGTCCGGATACTATTTTTTATTTCTTATTTGTTCGTAAAAAGGACGAATCAGAACACAGTTTTGGTACCTTTTTTTATTGTCGAGATCACGTGATTTTATTAAATTTACAATGGCGGCCCAAGTATTAATCTAACCATAGACCCGTAGACGGTCCTCATTCGCCATACACATCGTTACGGGTCATTTAAGAGTTACCGCTAAATGCCACCATTTTAATCATTTTTTAAAAAAAAATCTAGCTAATAATTTCCCCGCCGAATCTCATAATTCCTTCTTTTTTTCTTTCAATACCCGCTATAAAATAATGGGGGTTGGGATAGTTAGCGAACCTGGTCCCAGCCGAGCCCTTCGACATCCATAAATATTCTCATGAGTTCGGGTATGACGAGGGAAGGATGAGTGTCGTTAAGTTGGATAGCCACCTGATTAAAACAAAAACAAAAATACATCTTTTTTTTATATATAGAATAATATTATGGTGTATTAATAGAAATTGCCTGCAAACGCGAGTGTATTTATACCCCAGTTGATTTTAACTATTTCCGGTTATTTTAACTAACACGTGATAGATAATATGACAAGTTTAGCATAAAATAAATAACTTATTTATGTAACATGATACTTTTTTTCTTTCTAAGATTGTTATATTTATGGTTTATTATAAATTAAATCATTGTCTTTTTTAAATCTATAATTCGACGGAATGTGTTTAAACGCAACGTCACCTTTTGAGGAAAAGTTTCGAAAGAGGTCCTTATAGGTTCGCGCGAGCCGAATTTGGACGATCTGAATCGTCTTATAATGTCTTGCAGCGTGGCCGCGACGATAAAGTATTCCTGTTTCAAACGCAATTCCTTTCCTTCAAAAAACTGGGAGGAGGGGGGTGGGTGTTTGGAGAAAATAGATTATTTTTTTAAATTAAAACATTTAAAAAAAGGCGTTTCATACAAATGAAAAAACTCGGACAAAGCCATAAAAAAAAATATATAATTTGTCGATTTATATATATAAAAAAAAGGAATTTATAGTTTCCGTTTACGTTATCGTTGGGGTACAGAACTCTGGTAATGTTTTCCGAAATGTTTCTATCCATAATGGCTTGTATGTATTGACCGCTATTAACTAGGGGATATAATTAAAGATATTTTTTAAGATCGTTAAATAAGCATTTCATGAGGAAGGTTAAACATTATCCTCTCTTTCTGCCTTTCCTTCCTTCCTTCGAACGTGAATTGGCATAACGCATAATCCCCAAAAAAACTCTGAATTCACCCCAAAAACCGAACCCACTGAAACCCGAACATCGGAAATGAGAGAATTTTTTTTTTATTTACAGAAATTGAGGCAGAAACTGCGCTGAGCCTTTGCCGACCAGAGTCTAAGAGTGTTGACAGTATTATTGTGATATCCGGGTATGGGAACGTCGTAGGGCAACGCGTTCACAATCTTGAAAAATTAAATAAGGAGAAAGATAACAAAATAAAAGTTTTTTTTTTTTGGAGGAATAAAAAAAAGGAGCTTTAGTAAGGTTTGAGAAAATATCCTAAACCAAGAGTTAAAACGTGCGTTTCCGCCTGCTAAAAAAAATTTATCAAATAAAAACGCGATAAAATAGGAGATGACTAAAATAACTAATCAAATATTATACAAAGTTGAACACTATTGGTGATCATAATATCCTTACTTACTCATACTCACGCAAGATGGAATTTATTTGTAGTACACGCGTGGACTCGCGCCCCTCAATTCTCGTTGTTAGCGAAATAGAGAGGAAAAAATGGTTTACTGTTAATTAATCGAATAAATTAAACAAGCCAACCTTTTTTTTAATTAATAAAAATAATGGGTTACCTTATTGGTGAAATAAAAAAAACTAGAACCAGATGGTCTTTCGGGTCGTGCCATGCTCGGTTCGGTTTAACCCGACTTTTTAACCCCGCCATATATTTATATAAATCTTAAGCTTTAAATTGATCAAAATTACCTGGGTATCTTCCCACTTGACTCCGTTGGCGGTGTGGTTAACCCTCCCGTAAAAGTTGATAGGGATGACGTATTCGGGTCTAGACTTCTCCCAAGGGCTTCCATATCTCAGCCACTCGTCTGGTTCTTCCACCTTTTAATCCATGAGTTTTAATAAATAATAAAATTTTAACATTTTTTCTCGGGGAGTTGTTTGATGCTCACGGAAGTTTGCATTTAGGGAGAAAAATTAACTACATAGGCGCATTTAAAAAAAAATAAATCAATCAAATTAATAAAGCGCACAAAACCTGCCAACCGTTAATGATGCGCTGCGTGAATATACCGTACTCGTATCGTAGACCGTAGCCGTAAGCCGCTAATCCCAGTGTAGCCATAGAATCGCAAAAGCAGGCCGCTAGCCGGCCCAAGCCGCCATTACCCAATCCGGCATCTTCTTCCTGGTCCTCGAGCTCTTCGATATCCAGACCCAGCTGTAAGATTGAAAAAGAATATATTTTTTTTTTATCATTCTTTTAATCCTTTCTTTCCTTCGGCGAGAAAATACAACCTTTAAAAATTCAAAATAGTTTACACACAAGTATGAGATAACCCTATCGTGACTACCCCGATTATAAAAACCGGATGTATATTTTATTTAGAAAAAACCCCTGATTTTATCAAAACCGGGTCCGGGTACTATATTCGAAAATTCGGGAATATACATCCGAAAAACGATTGGGGGATAAGAACAAACTTATTTTCTCACAAATATGTTTCCCCGCGAATCTCTCAATCCCAGCGGCAGCGATGGCCAAGCAAAACTCAAACTCGCTCAAAGAAACCGTTTCGCGGCATTGTCAAAATTGCTCGGAGCAAACACGAAGCAAAACAAAATAACGCGCCATTTTTTTTTGAAAACAAAACCAAAAAATTATTTTTAAATTATTCAAGCCATATAGTTTTTATATTAATCGAATAAATTTTTCTTTAAAAAAAAATGGTTAGATAATTAATTTGGTTTATTTTAAAAAAATATATATATATATATTTTTAAAATAGATGGCGTTAAAGTTGTCTAAAATTGAGAGTCACCTTCGCGATATAATTTTAATATATTTAATTATATAAAAAGTTTTTGGTTCCATTTTACGTTATTTTTCAAAAATATAACAAAAATTTGATATGAAATTCGAAATGATACGCCAAAGGGTGAAAAAGCTTTTAATTTTTCAAATCAAACTTTAAAAAAATATACTCTTCCCCTCTCCCCAACTCTTCCATTCCGAAAAACAAAACCGCTTTTAGTATCGTTTACCGCGTATCGAGGATTAGCTAGCAATGCCTCGGTACACTTAGAGGTAAGGTGCGCGGGCGTTCGTATAAAATTAAACAAAGCTCTAAACCAACCAATCAAATAATTCGCGAACATGAGGGAGGGAGACTAAAGACTAAAAGGGTGGGCGGGTAAATTTTTTTTAAAACCTATGAGCGGTCTACCGTGCACTAATAGCTCTGCCAGCAAATGGGGTTAAAAAAACATTGCCTCATAACTTAGGGATATATTAAATCCGGCACGAAAACCGGCCGATAAAATTTTACCGGTTTTCTTAAACCGGTTTTCTAAGTATATATTTTTTATAATTGATCTTTGTGATTCTGCTTTTTTTGTTTTTGATTGATACAACATTTTATTAAATTCTTCGAATTATTATGATAACATTATATAAAAATTAAATTTGTTAATTATTTTAAATATATATATATAGTGCTATTCAAAATCGCTATGTATTGTTATTATCCACGTGATCAGAATTCCTATTCTTTTCAATTGTTTTAAAGCGCATGCGCAAAGGAATAAAAGAAAAAAAGATGGTGAACGGGTGGTAAGGAATAAGTTGAAGAGACACATTGAGAATAAAAAAACGCAATTTAAAATAATTTTTTAAAAAAAATATCGATTGATTTTATATTTTAGAATTAAATCGAATATTCGAGAAAAATCTAATAAACTCAAAAAAAAAATTTCTTCGAGAAAAGATAAATATTTATTGAGGTAAGGAATTACAAACTAAATTCTTTTCTCTCATCTGCCAGGAATGGTTTTGAATTTCAAAAAAATTAAAAGTTAATTTATTTATTATTTTTTGTAAAAAAAAAGAAATTTTTGATTTTTTTTCGCGTTAAAAAGAAGGGAAGGGGGAAATGGAAAGAATATTATAGTATAATGCGTGATGTAATTAACGCCACAACTATTATGAGGGGGATAAGGGCACTTAGAGTGACGCAAAGCCCGGCCCTCTTCGGCCCGTTAAGAACTGCCGCGCGAGTTTGCCCGGCCCGTTACATTTTTAACTATCTTAAAAATGTTAGCGGTCGGACCCGGGTTTTGCAGTTCTCCAACGGAATGAACCGATATATTATATTTTTTTAAAAAATCACGTTTTGTACCGCGAATGGCGCCGAATCGTATTTTCGCGCTAACCGAGAATGCAGGGTTATAAAATGTACGAAGGAAAAAAAAAAGATAGTTAGGTGGGAGACCCGAATAAAATGGCGCCTATCGAAAATCTGAAGGAAAAAAAAATTAACTTTTTCTCTAAATTTAAAATATAATGTGTGGTCTGAAAAGTAGATAAGACAAGCCTAGTTTATAAAAAAATAATGTATCGAATCTTTTCGGCCATTTTGAGATCGAAAATAAAGATATTGGCACTCGAATAAATAGTTAACCTCCCCCCCCCCCCCACCCACCTTCCAAGTGAAACTTTCTGGCCAAGGGCATGCCTACTTTAAAACATTGAAAAATTTTCGGAATTCATTTAAAGCAAGCAAAGCCAGCCAACCCAGCACGATAAAAATTTTGATGGCCAAAGGCTCAAAATGTTTAAATTTTTGGCTTGCTATCCTCTACCATGAGCTCGAACGTTCCTGCTAAAAGGCTCTGGTATGGCGCCTTAGCCAAGACCGAGGTCCGTAATGGTCGGGCTTTTAGCACTATGAGCGAGTGGGTTAAAAAAAATTTTTAAACATTTGGAACGGGTTGGCAAACACGCGGGTGAATTCAAAATATTTTGCGGAGGAAAATAAAATAAAAGAGCCAAAACTTGCAATCAAATTTTAAAAAAATTGGGCGGGACGGACAGGTCAAACAAATTTTTCGGGGATAAATAAACCGGGCGGGCGGGTAATTTTTTTAAAAAAAAACCATGGGCTGGCGGCGGTTTTTCGGGTTATAACCCACTCGTTTCGGATCTTTAACACCCAAGTATTTAAAAAGTCATCAATATCATTCATAAATACTGAACCTTTTTTTTAGAATATTTATGCCAATATTTTGATTTTATATATATTTTTTTTAAATTTTATATAAAGTGTTAAATTTTTTAAATATGACATATGACATAAGCTCATTTCGAAGATTAATAAACAATAATGCAAATTAAGTTGCTGAGTATGGCAACGTTTATAATAGTAAACGCGATGTCTCTCTAAAAAACAACGCGGTATCGCGTCGTATTAGACGCTGTTAACTAATACGGTTGTTCGTTTAGCGATTAATCGCGCGTGGCCTAAGTAACATCGCAGTATTTCACGGTTACGATGCGTAACGGGGAAAATGTGAGGCGTTTTAATGGCAACATCCGGAAAAAGATGAGAAAATTAGGGCTAATTTGGGGAAGGAGGATGGGATCAAGATCAACTAGTGTTGTTTAAGCATCTGGATTTAAGGTCGATATTTTTTTAAAAAACGGCTAGCTCTATATTATATTCAGAAAAAATATTACGCAAGCATAAGGATTTCGCTCCTCACAAATGGCACAGCTAGCAGAAAGGTTTGGGCACTCTTAGCAAGATTTCGAGGCTAAGGCAATATTTTTTTTCCTGGCTAAATCCTCAAAATCGAGCGTTTACAACACTAGGAACAAGTTTAGAATAAATAAATTCTTTAATAAAAATTTTGCGGCTGGACTTATGGATTAAATAAGTGGTAAATGTAGATAGGCCAGGCTTAGAATAAATATTTCTAATTTGCGTGGCTCAATTCTATAAAGGAGTGGGAACATCATTAGAAACCAATAGTAGGGAATATTGTAAGAACTGGTAAATGAGATCCACAACATTTTGCCAGAACTTGAAGGAAGTCCAGGAAGTATTAAGATAAATAAGAAAATATATGTTTACATAAATATGATTATGCGATATAAATATAATTGAAAAAACTTATACTAGGGTTGTTAAAAAGCCTGGTTCAGGTCCTAAAAACACCCCAATTAAGATTTCGGTATCGTCCCTCTAATTCGTATGAAAATTTAGGAAATAGGTTTTTTGTCGTATTGCAATAGTTCGTTCCCAAAAAAAAGCCAATTTGCAATAGTTCGTTCCCAAAATAATTATGAAAATCCAAGATATTAAAGCTAAATCGCAACAATTATCAATAAGAAAATTAGAAATTAAAGTATATATTATTTAATTTGCATATAATAATTAATTTTTTTAAAAAATATAGTTTGATTAAGTCAAAATACAGCAATAATATTATCTATTCTAACAAATTCAATTTATATATTATCATGCAAAAAAAAGAGATTGCATTTTTATATACATCACCATAAAACATTTAGAAACTTGCAAACCAATCCTAAGTAAATAATTTTGATTAATATTTAATCTTAAATTATATCCTTAGAATGCCAAAGTAAAATGTCAAATTAATATTTACAATAATTTTTCAAAGCTATTAATTTACAAGGTCCAGTTTTGGATAACACAAATAGTCCAAGTAATCGTATGAACATTTATGAAAAAACGTCAAATGACCTAAAATGGCCACAAATATATTTGAAGCGATTATAATATTTGTATAATTTTGAAACATTGTAACAGATTAAACAAATAAATTAAAAAAATGCTTTTTATTTTAAAATAAATTTAAATATAAATAAAAATTGCTAAATAGTAATTAATATTTATACTAATACAAAAAAAAATTTAGATATAAATAAAAATTGCTAAATAGTAATTAATATTTATATTAATACGAGAAAACAGTATATACTAAAAATAAATTGCAGATAATTTACAATATTTTGGCAAACACTTAATAATAATATATTAGAGACAGCACAAATATATTATATATATCTTTGATATAATATTAATAAAATTTATATCAAATATCATAATAAAAATTTAAATTAATATATAAAAATGAATCTCTTTGTTTGCATAATAAAGTATAAATTGAATTAAAATAAATTTGATAACTCATTAAATATTTTATAATAAATTAAATAGCTTTTATTTTGTAATCTAATACAATATATATTAAGATATTTATATGAAATTTTAATGAATACAATCAAACATCTATAAAATATCTGAAGTATATCTTTAAGCTCAGAAACAGAAGAATTAACAATACCATAGCTCAAATGAAATATAATGTGAACGATATTATCCTGTTCAAAATTTATGGTTTTAAGACTGTTGTATTTCGTTATTAAATTATGATAAATATTATAATAGATACCTAAAGTAAAGATCCTTATATTATATATTATTTACATCACTATAAAATATCTTATCGAATTTATTTATTTTTTTTTAGTGTAATTATTTGAAATTTCCCTAATATTTCTTTAATAACATTGAGTAGGCTAACCATAAAATCTATTCTTAGAATAAGCACAGAGTTGGGCAGGTCCTACGGAAAAAGAATCTAGATACAGATATAGATTATTTGTGAAAAAATGAAATTTAGATACAGATACTAATATCTTTTTCAAAATATCAAAAAGATATAAGATAAAGATACTTAAATCATTATCATTTAGTTTTTTTTCACAAATGGCATAAAGGTTTGGACCTCTCTATTTAAACTCAAGGCTTACACAATATTATTTTGATTCAAATCTTGGGCTTTTTAACAACCCTACTTAATACCCAATTTGCTATAGGGTGGAATTCTTAACGTAATTTCCACGTTCATTAATTTATTTTGTGTTAAAATTAAATTTTTTATAACAATAATATTATTATTAATAATTTTTAGACATATTTTATTTTGCAAATATAAATATAATTCCTTGTAACTAGTGTTAACAGTGGTCAGGCCTAACTGGTCTAACACCAACAATCCAGTCTCATCGACTATTGGGCCCAACAACACAATACAATGGTCCAGTTTTCAGACCAATATAAATTGCTTTTTAATAAATGAATATGACATGTGAAACATGGTCTTTATGCCTAGCACAGTATAATATTTCATTCATTATATTCTTCCATTTTTCAATTGAATTTATTTGGTATTATATTTTTATTTTTGAAATAGAAATAATAGAGGATAATAATATTATTGAATCACCCTCTTATGGGGGTGAAAGAATAACAATTGATTTAGAAATTTGGTGGGAAGGGAATTAATATCATTAAATTATTTTTCTGGCATCCCCCGATTTTCAATTCAGACCAAAATAGCAATGGACTATCACCCACAGCAGACTACAACAGAATTTTTGATTTTTTAGAAGATAATTAGAATATTTATATATAAATCAGTTTTATTTTATAAAAATATCTGTCATATTATATATTAAAAATTAACTAAATATGCAAATTGATTTATATTATGCTCAATAAATTTAGTATGGTTTAAAATTATTTAGAAATATTAGGCAGTAATAAAAATGATTTGATGATATAAAATATTACTAATTTAACACATTTCATTTTTAATAAAATTTAATGTAGAATAAAGATTTCAAAGCTTAAAAAAAAACAATATTTAGACTGGAATATTCTAAAGTATTACATAACTATTGATTTACATTTGGTATTTCTGAAATTATATAACAAATTAATACACTATTTTAAATATAAAAATGCATTTTGAATATTAAAACAAAATATAAAATGCAAACTTGATATAAGGCCTCATCAATTGAACTTGATATTCCTAAATTCATCATTGTGTTGGTTAATGTCCTCCCAATATAATATTCTAGCGATATATAATATACTCTCTAAATAATATATTTATGCAAATTAAATTATTGTCTACTTTTGGGTCATTTTCATAATAATATTGTTGAGTTCGAATCCAACGACCAACTAAATGATCCCTGACTGTATAGGCTAATGCAAAAAAATAATCTCTTGTTGTAGCAACATTCCGATCTTTTACTAAAGTGAAATGCAGGTGTCTATTAAATCCTTTCTTAAATTCAGAAACATTTTCAACTTGAGCTATTCCTCTAACACTAATTTGTTTTCTTCTATCATATTCAGTTTCTGGGGTAGTCATTGCAAAGGTTAAGTAAAAGTGATTTCAATTCAAATTTTTATTCTGCGTGAATGGAATAAATATAATCAGCTGATAAAAATAGAACAATGCTTTAGATTATCTGCTGATAAATATTTATAAAAGAAATTTGTGAATTGATTATATGCAGAAATATTTACACATCCTAAGCAATTGACAACTGCAGAACTCCTTACCCCTCTATGCATTGTTTTGATTCTATCTTAAATTTTTCATTATTTTATTCAATCCAATCTGCAAAAATTTATATAAATCCGATAGAAAGACAATATTAGTGTGTATCATATATAATAGATATATGAAATAGAAATGGTGGTAATCTATTTTATTGATGTCAAAGTCTTGTGAAGTTACTGATAGATAAAGGCACTGCCATAAGGTGCATCTCATAGTTCCGCGTAGAGGTCTTGGGCGGAGTTTCGGCCCGACCGGCCCGCCCACTTTTTAAAAACAGGATCACGGGCGGGCGGGTTAAAAAGTTTTAATTAATAGGGAGGAGGTGGGTTTACGGGATAAGAAAATTAAACAATGTCCGGGCCGGTTAAAAAAAATTTAAAATTATTTAAGTAAATATTAATAGAAAATTATTTCTATGAACTTTTTGGGATATTATTAAAATATCCTTTCTTGGTATCATAAATTTTTTTTAATAAATAACCTTTTTTATATATTTAAAAGTACTTTGGTAAAAACGACAAGAAACAAATTTGCCAAAACTATCAAGATTAGCAAGAAAATATTGGCAATTTCTGCAAATAGTGCTTCTCCTGAACGAGGATTTAGCATTGCTGGGAGGTTTTTAGAACAAAGAAGAACGTGTTTGAATCCAGAAAAGATTCATTATTATTTTTGCATTATTAATTACATATAATATCAATTTTATATTTATATTATTTTCATAAATATTTTATTGATCATGTTGATATGACCGATTAATACTATTAAATTGTTTTTTTTGTGTTTACATCTAATTTTTTTTTATAAATTGAAATTATTATATTAATCTGTAAATTGATTTTTTGTTTGTAACATGCTATATAAGCTTTACATTTTTAGTTTTAAAATAGATGTAAAATTTTAAAAATAAATTAAATAAAATTTAACTCGTTATACTTAATCGTAAGTAAATAAATAAATATTAAAAAGATTTCCAATAATAATGTTATTATAAATATTTAATTTTCAATATACTCAGGCAATGGCGATCTTTTTTTGAGTAGATTCGAAAGACATCTTCAAGGACACTCATATCTCGGACATCAAAAAAGCAGGTTCCTTTACAAGAAGACTACCAGATGAGATATATATCAAACTAGACGAACTAAATAAAATTGGGCTATAATGACTTACAAATTATTCTAAATCCACACAATATGTTGCTACTAGAACATAGACAACTATATAAAAAAAAGTTCTGGAGTGTTATGTTTATTTCATTCTAAAAACACGTAAGAAATGATTAATTTGAAAAAGTAAAAAATAATTAAAATTTTTTAATGATAAATTTCTAAATTATGAATAAACCTATATGGGACATTAATAATAAAACAAAGTCCATAGACAAATTAGAAGATTACTTAATTTATCATGATAGTAAGAATACTTTAAGCTTAATAGGTAATTTACCAGATGATTTATATTTGGTCATGAAAGCAGTGTTTCCAAGATAGTTAAATTCAAGTTTGAAGCATTGTTTATTTAATTATAAATCGGCTACAGAAATAAAAGAAAATTATTCTAATAAAAATTTTAGTAAATCTAATAATGAGAATTTTAAAAGAAATTATCATTGTAAACTCTTAGTAACAAAAAATTGAAAAATATTGAATTAGAACCAAATATTCAAAATGAAAGAGATTCTTATAAACTAAAAGAGATAAATTATATTATAAAATTTGAAATATTTGTGATTATAGAAAATAAGGAAATAAACATTAAAGAAAATAATTAAATAAAAACTTTTATAATTGATAAAAAATTTAAAAAAAATGTGAAAATAAAGAAATGTAAAACAATTATTGTTAAGAGAGACAAGATGAAAGTGAACATCTTGATGTTAAAAAAGTTTTTGAATATGATATGAAAATCATGTATTAGAAAATGGAAGGCGAAATAAAATTCTTTTTAGAAAGAACAATTTAAAGATAATTTATGATATGAAAAAGTTGTTTATATTGAAAAATAAAGGAGTAAAATTTAAAATCTAAAAAATAAAAATAATTGAAATTTAATATTAATAAAAAACAATTATATAAAACGCTACAATTAAAGATATTTTTAAAAAAAAGATTAAATTTATAATTTAATATTGATAAAAATTATTATATAAAACGCTATTATTAAAAACGCAATATTTATAATATAATAAAAAATAATTATTTCATTCCAAATATTCAATATTTCATTAATTTATTCTGCTTAAATTATTCTTAATCAAATTCGATATTCATTAAAATAATTCTATTTCGATTACTCCACATTTTATTACGACGTTATTCAAATACCTACATTCTAAAATCATTCAAAATCTTCGCACATATATTTATAACAAACAATGATAATAATTAACAGAAGGGTGACAAAGTCAAATCATATAAACAACTAAACCATTTTTCAAAGATTTGGAGGGAGTAAGACAAGATAAGAAAATTTACGAACAAAAACCAACTAATATTAGATATGACAATACCCAGATGATGCCATATACTGAGAGTAAAAGACATTATGATAATAATTACAAACATCAGTTTAAACAACCATGGCAAATTCGACCATATTATGGCAACCAAAGATTTAACAACCAAAATAACTATCATTTTCCAAGACGAAACTATGACAGACTGCAAAGATTCACATGCAAGAAAAACCTGAATGGAGATCGTTTATTTTAAAGGGTGGAATGTTGATATGACCGATTAATACTAACCCTAAAATTGTTTTCTTTTGTGTTTACATAAATTGATTTTTTTTTTATAAATTGTAAAAATTGATTTTTTTTATATAAATTATTATATTAATATGTAAATTGATTTTTTGTTTGTAACATGCTATATAAGCATTACATTTTTAGTTTCAAAATAGATGTAAAATTTTAAAAATAAATGAAATAAAATTTAACTCGTTATACTTATATGGTCAGAAAACTTTAGATCATATAAATGATCCATAATTTAAATTAAATATTTTTTTATGCTTAAATATACTAATTTCCTAAAAACATTTTTTAAGAAGTGTAATGCTAAAAAAAAAAAAATTTTAATTTGATGCTTAAAAAATTGAAAGAATGGCCATAATTAAATATTATTGGGCTAAAAAATCTTTATAAATAATTGATGGGTGGGTAAGAAATTTTAGACTAAAGGGCTGGCGGTTGGAATATTTTTTTTGAAAACTATGAACGGGCTCGGCGGGTGAATTAAATTTTTTTTTAAACATTGCGCGAGCTGGCTTAGGGTTTTAGAAACCTCCTCAAATGCAGATCTAGTTTAGCGTATACATGATGAGGGGAGGGGAGTTTGCATCCAATTTTTTTGAGGGTGGTAGGGTTGAGGTTCAGGGACAATAAAAGTAAAAGCAGCGGCGTTCTTGCTACTTTAAGGGATTTAGGCTAGGAGTAGGATAAATTTATTGGGAGGTTATCTATTAATTTTTTAGACGTAATAAGGCAAATGTATTGCTGTATAAATACATACTTTTATTATAGACGTATTTTGAAAACAATGATATTGCTGAACATTAACCAAATTTTATATATTCCTTACAATCATAAACTTTGTATTACAAGAGAAAATATTTATAGATCTGTTAAATATAATTTAAAAGGGGGCAGGAATTCGACATTCATGCCAAAAAATATACTATAATAATGCATTTCACATATTATGGGGTTTTTAATTGAATTCAAATGATTAAGAACATGAATATTTTAAAATGTAATTTCTCAATAAATTTTATAATTTAATATTTTATTTTCCGACGCGGACGCAAGAAATGGAGGGAGGGTTATCCAAATAAAAATTCATAAATATTAAATGTAAATGATCTGCTCTCATTATAAAATTTCCCGAAAGTGAACCTTGTAAAAAAATATAAATTTATTAAGCATTTAAATATTAATTTTTTTTTATACTTTAATATGCATTTAAATTTTTCAATTCCAAATATTCAAACCCATTTAAAAAATATATCAAAACTTATATTAGAGGGAGAAAAAAATTTAAAAAATATATATTAAAAAAATTTATAATAAAAAATATTTTAAAAAAAATGGGGAAGAAGAATTAAATAGGTGTATTGTTTTGTATCAAGTCGAGGTTGGAGATAAAATTAGATCCATATATCTCGAAAGATATTTTTTACCTGTGGTATAAATATTCTTTAAGGTCTCCATTGATTGTTGTTAGCATTTTACCTTTAAATTAGAATCGCTTCTTTGTCAAAGCTCCCCAATGTGGTAGTAGCAAAGGGTAAAAAAAAAGTAGTGATTTTAATAATAAAATAACATTGAAAATATAGACGAATGCACAAAAATATTCACAATAATTATTATTGCTTGGAGGAAAATAAAAAATACTGTGCAATAAAAGATTTAAAAATATATTTAATTAAGGAGCATATCAAAAATTTATAATTTAAACTCAATCTTCTTAAGGATTGAGCTAATTCTATTATTTTATCAGTGTATGGCGTCAAATCCCTACGAATTTTAAGAAGGGTTAACACTCATTCAATACATTTTCTGACATATTCCATCTAAGTAGTATTGTTAGACGACTCGATTCGAGATTTCTTTAAAACCGAACTCAATATTTTCCAGGAAAATATTACGCACGCGTGAACATGCCGCTCAAAGATGTCATAAAAGGTTTGAAGATCTGTTAGTAAAATCTCAAGGCTCTGGTAATATTGAATTAGCCATTAAAAAATAGGCTCAAATAGACCCATTTAGCAACTACTTCTCAGGTATGTTTATATCCTTGTTAAAAAAGAAAATGTTCTTTTATTGGTAGTACGGG